CGGGCTCCCTGGAGGCTCCGGGAACAGGCGGAAGATGACCTGATGAGCACGGCACCTCCCCAAATGAAGAATCGCCATGTGGTGGGGGATCGGGCGATGGCAGCTCCGGACTCCCCCGTCCGCCCCCTGCCGACACGACCGGTGACGTTGAGGGCGTTAGGCGCTTGGACCCTGTGGGCAGAATAATAGAACCATCCTGAGGCAGGGCCTCAGGCAACGTGCGCCCCAGCTCATCCGGCTGACCAGACAGCTGGCCCTCGGGAAGTGGAGATGAACGCCCAACGGCCGTTCAAAAAAAACATTCAGATGCGACGGGTACACAAACCAGTGCCTGCGACCGCACTGAATCTGCACACATTGCGGACTCCTTACCTCCACTATTTCGACCGGGCCCTGTCATGGTTTGTGTAATTTCGGGGATGTACCCATGGGGACATGGAGTTAATGGCGTCCATTGAGTTGTGGACTAGGCAGGGCTTGACAAGCCGTTTATTGGCTGCCTACCGCAAGGCCGAGTTCCTCTGGGATGCCTCCCTGGCTTCTGCCAATCGCTGTAGGGTAAGGCGCATGGAGTTCGGCATATTTTTTACAATCTTGCAACGGCTTCAGCTGCACATCAATTGGTGGGTCACGCTCCCTTCCACACACGAAGAATAACGGAGAGAATCCGGTAGAAGTGTGCGGGGCGGAACTATATGCAGTGAGCACACTCGGAACACGCAAGTCCCAGTCCGACTGGGCTTCAGTGACACATTGGCACAACATCGAAGTCAGGGTCCTGTGTAACCTCTTCACCATACCGTCGGTCTGGGGGTGATAAGGCGAAGTACGCACCTTTTTGGTACCCAATTGCCCGCACACTTCCTTCAACAGCTTGGATGAAACATTTTTGCCCTGGTCCGTCAGGAGACGCTCAGGGACACCTTTGCCAATACGTAGCCATGAAGGAACGCGTTTGTGATGGTTTCCGCCGACTGGTTTGGTAGCGGCCAGGCCATCGGCCAACGCGACAAGTACTCCACCCCGACCAATAAATATTTATTCCCCCGCGGGGTGGTGGGGAATGGACCGAGAACATCGAGCGCGACGAGTTAGTTCACCCGGGAAACGCAAATGGATTTCAGTGGTGGGCGATCCGTTCATCTCCGGGGCCGCCTCTCCCGGGGCTGTCTGGGGGATCACCCCCTCTTCATCCTCTTCTTCCGAAGAAGCCTTGGTAGGTTGTCTTCTCCTCGTGTACATTTTTAAGCCTACGCTATCACCTAGCTATAAAGTATTTTCACTTCTGGCACCAGATGTAGTGTGGGACTCACGAGACACACACAGAGGTCTGGAGGCACCGCGATTTATTGAACTAACAGGGCTATGGTTTAACTATACTCTGGGTTATCCTAGACCCAACCTGGTCTCCACGTAACATAACTCCCCCGACGACCGAAGATCCAAGACAAAGCGACGTAACACGGTGAGTTCCCTCTCCCAGACAACTACGATCGTTCCGTCCTCCTCCCTCTTATCCTCTTGAGCGTGGCCTCGCTCCGCCTCTGGCCACGCCCCCTGCTCGGTCTCCCCCGACGGAACCGGGGCCAGCGTCACGTGTCCTTCAAGCCCCCTTTTTCGAGCCCCCTTCACTATCCCGTGTCGGCAACGTCCCCTCTCTCTCCTTGCGATGAGACCCTGCCCTCTAGGGCCCGCTTACCCGCCATGTCTCCGCCAGCGCCAGAGAGAGGTACGTAACATACACATTTACTAGATGTGGGCATAGCTGGCGTACACGCCCTAGAGATGGCATTTACGTCTCTACACATTCACCTCTTGTCACACACAGAGGGATAGGGCAGAGGGCGCAATGCTATCACACACCCCGTGGGGTTATTTTGAATGCCTCAGTGATTTACAGACAGCTTCAAGGCTCATAGATCTTACAAATTCCCCACAGAATGGGATGACATTACTTAAGTCATTCGGACACACATTATCAATTACCTACTATAATCACCCAGAAATGTCTGTCCGTCCCGTGCTTGACGTCACTCCACATGAGGCCCACCCCCCTCATTAATATTCATGAGTGGGTGGATTTTTACACTAACGCAGAGGAAGGTCGAGCTGAATTAAATAATTTCAAATACAGTATGATGTTTCTTTACAGAAAGTGAAAGTATAAAATAAATCTACGCAGCACAGTGCTACATCCGTGCGTGGCATCATGCCCGCGTGTAAATTTACACAAACGCACTAGGTCGCGCACTCCACATGCCGCACCCCTCCCCTCATTAATAATCATGAGTGGGTGACGTCACTCCACATGCCGCATCCCTCCACAATAATCATTAGCGGGTGACGTCACTCCACATGCCGCACCCCTCCCCAATAACCATTAGCGGGTGACGTCACTCCACATGGGGCAACCCCCCTCATTAATAATCATGAGCTGAACAATTTTTCTATTGAATATTTCAGATTTATTGCAATATACACCCGTCCTTGGACGGGCAAAAAAGCTAGTTATCAATCGTGAGTCACCCCGAGACCTCATCTTGGCATTGATTTGGGGGTCGTCCATAAATGACGTCACGCACCTGGGGGGGGGGGTCAGACATTTGTGACGATGTGCAGCAAAGGTGGGGGGGGGGTTGAGAAATGTGACGTTACATCAAAACTTTAAATAAATAGTGACAACACGTTCTACTTAAATATACGTTTTAATAAATGTTTTCTCCTACAACATCAGAGTGCAGCGCCACATTAAATACGCACTACAATGACAATAGTTTAAAGCGATTTGAAGCATGTGTTTTTTTGGGGGGGGGCAGAGCTTTGTGACGTAAAATTTCAGGGGGGGGGGTCTGACTTTTTGTGACGCCGTGTGACGAGGGGGGGGGGGGTCAAAAATCGCGTGACGTCATTTATGGGCGGCCCCTTGCCTGAAATTCAATCTGTATCAGATGGCGACTGATTTTTGCAGCTGACGAAGGCATCTTGAACTCCGTGGTTAAACATTAGTTCAAGTACAATTTAAATTTGTTTAACTTGGTGAGAACTCAAGAGACCAGGATAGCCTCATTTGCAACAGTTACCTGTCAGTAACCTCAACATGTTTTGCAGAATTTCTGAGAATGTGTTGTCACGTTCAGTGACTCTCTTCCACAGTTAACAATTCCCCATTTGATGGCAACGTGTGGAGGCTGCTGTGGGGTTCCTGGAGCCTGATTGACTTCTGAGGTTACATCACAAGGTCCACTTGGGTGTGAGGAATGTGAACCACAAGTGGACGCTCATCAGTGAACGCCAATGCCCTGAATACCATCTAGGGATGCCACCGGTACAGATTTGACCCAGACAGTCGGTGGCAGGAATTGACTTGTCCCGAGATCTGGTGGTATTGTGAGGGATCTGTCCTGGAAAATCCATGAGTGACAATGCTTTCACATGCAGTTCTCCGCCCTTATTCTTCTTCCCATCATGTCCTGGTTTATTTGTAGCTCAGAGGCAGTAACCATGCTGTAAACACAAAACCCAAACAAACACTCATAAACACAGACGTGCACCCTTGAACACGCAAACATACCTATACAGTACACACACACACACTGCCATCCATATTTGCACAGGGTCACCAAATCGCACACTCACAAAAAGGCAATAAAAACCCGCGCCAGATTTAAAATAAATAAGCAATATGAAAGAAAACTTTTTTTTTTAAACACGCTTTTATGAAATGTACCGTACTAGTAATGGCAGAACTCCACGACTCCAGGAAGTGGCCCCGAACCTTGCCACAACGTAGGGTGATGTACAGCCAACGTGAGTTGAGCGTGGACAATTATTGCACCCAAGCCGAAATATAACATATAAAAAGAATGTTAAAAATATATATTTTTTTTCATTTTTTATGATAGAATATAGTATTGTCATCAGTATGACATAAGTATATCAAGTTTGCAGTCGATACCACATTGGGAAGTGGGTTACAATTGAGTTACAAGATTTGAGGATACAACAACAGAGTTAAAAGAAAGCGTGTAATAATAAACTTCCGCTCACAATCAGTCACGTGCACAGAAATCACGTGGACAGAACAAAGACCCCCCCCCTCCCCCCCATATATAGCCTTCACATGCTGTTGGGGCAAGTGCTGTTAGCGAGCACCTACGAAGGCCGGCACGGCACACCACGAGGATGGGTAGGACAATACCACGCCCGGCCGCCTTTGTCTCCCCACAGCGGCGATGTTCGCACATCGCATCAGGCACTCATTCGATGCTGAGTCGACCTAGGGGAGGAGGCCCAGGTCCAGCTCAGAGAATCGTCACCGGTGTCGTAGCGCGCACGACAATTCTCCATCCCAGCCACAGCCCCCAAGGTGAACGACTGCCAATGCGAAGCAGTGCCCGCAGGCTGCCATTGGTCCTGCTCTTTGTGATGACACGCCGGGTGGTGGGGGGGTAAGGGGGGGGGGTGGTAAGGGGGGGGGGTGATGAGGGGGTTGTAAGGGGGGTGGTAAGGGGGGTTGTAAGGGGGGTTATAAGGGGGGGGTGGTAAGGGGGGGGTGGTAAGGGGGTTGTAAGGGGGGTGGTAAGGGGGGTTTAAGGGGGGTTATAAGGGGGGGGGGGGTGGTAAGGGGGTTGTAAGGGGGGTTATAAGGGGGGTTGTAAGGGGGGTGGTAAGGGGGGTTGTAAGGGGGGTTGTAAGGGGGGTTATAAGGGGGGGGTGGTAAGGGGGGGTTATAAGGGGGGTGGTAAGGGGGGTTGTAAGGGGGGTTATAAGGGGGGGGTGGTAAGGGGGGGTGGTAAGGGGGGGTTATAAGGGGGGTTGTAAGGGGGGTTATAAGGGGGGTTGTAAGGGGGGTTGTAAGGGGGGTGGTAAGGGGGGTGGTAAGGGGGGGTGGTTAGGGGGGGTGGAAAGGGGGGGGTGGTAATGGGGGGGGGGTAAGAGAAGTTGTAAGGGAGTGTGCTAAGGGGGGTGGGCTAGGGGGAGGGGCTCCCCCGTGACGGTGTTTCTCGTTGGTGGCCGCTCCCGCTTCCCGGAACGCGACGTGACGTCACCCCCACCCCATTCTCATCCACGGGCCGACGTTCTTGTTAAACCTTCTTGTTAAACCTTACCCCTCTGTTGTTCTTGTTAAACCTTACACCGTTCTTGTTGTTAAACCTTCTCCCGTTCTTGTTGTTAAACCTTCTCCCGTTCTTGTTGTTAAACCTTACCCCTCAGTTGTTGTTAAACTTTCCCGCCGTTGTTGCTAAACCTCCCTCACGCACTGTACTCGCACTGTGTTGAGCGACTGAGGTTGCAAGCGACTCCGTTCGTCGCGGCCGTCTTTGTATCTCCCGCGCACCCTTCAGCCCGTGGATGCGCCTGCGTCCCGTCGCAGCTTTCGTGAGCGCCCAAGAAGAGGTGAGAGAGAGAGAGAGAGAAAGAGGTGAGAGAGAAAGATGTGAGGTGGTGGATAACCCAACGCGCACGTCCTACTACTATAACCCTCGGACGTTTTAACAAGCTGATTTGTTTGACTCTTTTTTTTCCTACCCACCCCACCACCACCCCCCCCAATAATATTTCGTTACGTTCACGAGCTGGGTGTGTTAAGTCGTTGCTTTGCCGTCAAACATTACGGACCAGCGTAAACAACAACAACAATAACAACAACAATGTCCACTCGCGGCAGACACGACGGTGTTCAGACTGAAGTCCGCCTGTCGCCCGCCCGCTCGCTCAGTGTGCGGTGCGATAAGGAACGTTAATGTTAATTATTACGGCGAATATTTTTGCTCGTATGGTCATGCCTTACAAAGTTAGGCGGCTAACTTTTATTTTATTTATTTTTTCCTCCCCCCCCTCCACCAAAGCAAAAGCCACCACCGCTTGAATGGAGCTCTCGCTATGTTATAGTAATAGAGGTTTTTAGTACCCTTTTTTTATCTGGCACAAAAAAACTGACACCTTTATACAAGGGATGATGTTTGCAATAGCCACAACACAAGCAGTCAAAATGCAAACAAAAAGAGACAACTCTGATAATGATTCTAGATTTTCAAGCTTTTGTGACTGCTAGGATCCATACTCTTTGGTTCTATTGGGTAAAGTCACGTGGGTAAAAAATAAATTAACAAAAAATCACGACGTTTCGGCCACAACACAAGCGGCCTTCATCAGGTGAAGGGACGAGACCTGTCTGGAGGACAGCGCTGATAATGATATTGGAGCCTAGTCTCCACTGGTGTTGGACCAGAAGACGCCAAAAGGCGTACTGGCTATGTTGCTAGCGTAAGTTGCCTTCGTGTTACATTGCCGTGTGACATGCACACGAAGTGGCCGAGAGCCGTCAGTTTTGGGGACATTGGGTTCAAGAACTTGTCCAGAAGCCACCCATCTCTCGGCTCCCAAGGCTGATGACATTGGTGTGAACGCAGCGTCGGATTTAAGGTCATGCGGTGACCTGTAGCATGATGTTATGAAAGGTGGCCCTACAAATTTTTTTTAAACGTAAATATTAAAACACATTTTTTTTACTTGCACAGTAAAATAATCGTATTTTTTTTAATTTGCAATACAGCCAGATAATACGAAAAAATCGCTAACCTTATAAACACCCAGTCGTGTGTAAAAGTTGAAGGCGGTATAGTACTATGGTAATAGAGCAAGTGCAGAATCGCTGAGCCGGAATTGATAGCTTGAAAGCGTTTAGCGCGGGGCCCTTGAAAGTTCGGGGCCTGTATCTACTACATATGTAGTAGTAGCTACATATGTAGTGGTTACATATGTAGTAGTAGCTACTACTACATATGTAGTAGCTACTACTACATATGTAATAGTTACATATGTAGTAGTAGCTACTACTACATATGTAGTGGTTACACATGTAGCTACTACTACATATGTAGTAATTACATATGTAGTAGTAGCTACTACATGTGTAGCGACTTTTGCTACTAAGATAATCCGGCACTGTGTGAACCGTGCAGTGGAACGTGTGGACATTTACTCCTATAACAAGCCAAGAATGTCTGTGTGTCCCGCGCGTGACGTCACTCCACATCGGCCAGCCCCGCTAATTAATAATCATGAGCGGGTGACGTCGCTCCACATGGACCCCTCCCCCTCAATAATCATGAACAAGTGGTGTCTCTCCACATCGAACAGCCCCCCCTCATTAATAATCATGAAGAGGTGACGTCTTCCAAATGGACACCCCCCCCACCATTAATTAATAATAATTAGCGGGTGACGTCACTCCACATGGGGGGGGGGGCGAGGCGCCTCCTCCCCCCTCCTCGGCGTCAACTTACAACCCTCACTACAAAGGCAGAACCCTCACGTCACGTGATCTCCGTGACGCTGTTGTTGAGACATCGAAGTAAAAAGGATGTTATGATGAACAAGGGATTATGACCTTTAAATAAAATAAGTCTGTGTCACCGCGGCCTTACAAATTCCACACGAATGGATGCAATGAATATATCACGTCGCGGTCTGATTTTCGCTTGCAAGTTTTTTATTTACTGCAATACATCCGTCCTTGGACGGGCAAGAGGCTATTTAATTATATATTAAAAGTAAAATGATTGTACTACTATACAGTAGGCTCTTGCCCTAACTGCCCACCACAGTTGTAGCCACAACTTTCCCGGGATATGTTGACACCCCCGTAGGCAAGACTCATCAAGCTCATGTCAAACGAAATGTGCCGCGCATTGCTACAGTGAGGGAAAAGAAGTATTTGATCCTCTGCTGATTTTGTACGTTTGCCCACTGACAAAGAAATGATCAGTCTATAATTTAAATTGTAGGTTTATTTGAACAGTGAGAGACAGAATAACAACTAAAAATCCAGGAAAACGCATGTCAAAAATGTTATCAATTCATTTGCATTTTAATGAGGGAAATAAGTATTTGACCCCCTCTCAATCAGAAAGATTTCTGACTCCCAGGTCTTTTATACAGGTAACGAGCTGAGATTAGGAGCACACTCTTAAAGGGAGTGCTCCTAATCTCAGCTTGTTAACTGTATAAAAGGCACCTGTCCACAGAAGCAATCAATCAATCAGATTCCAAACTTTCCACCATGGCCAAGACCAAAAAGCTCTCCAAGGATGTCAGGGACAAGATTGTAGACCTACACAATGCTGGAATGGGCTACAAGACCATTGCCAAGCAGCTTGGTGAAAAAGGTGACAACAGTTGGTGCGATTATTCGCAAATGTAAGAAACACAAAAGAACTGTCAATCTCTCTTGGCCTGGGGCTCCATGCAAGATCTCACCTCGTGGAGTTGCAGTGATCATGAGAACGGTGAGGAATCAGCCCAGAACTACACGGGAGGATCTTGTCAATGATCTCAAGGCAGCTGGGACCATCGTCACCAAGAAAACAATTGGTAACACACTACGCCGTGAAGGACTGAAATCCTGCAGTGCCCGCAAGGTCCCCCTGCTCTAGAAAGCACATATACATGCCCGTCTGAAGTTTGCCAATGAACATCTGAATGATTCAGAGGACAACTGGGTGAAAGTGTTGTGGTCAGATGAGACCAAAATAGAGCTCTTTGCACACAGCGTTGGTGTGCGGTGCTATTTCAGGAATATTTTGATGTTTTTTTCCTGGATTTTCTGTTTGCACATGCACAAAGTCACTTTAGGATGTTTTATTGTTCATGTTTTTTTGTTTGTTGCGGTTGCACCCGATTCAAGAGCCGAATGGCTCACAGGGCTATACCAAATAAATGAAACTATGAAAACTATGAAACTATCAACTCAACTCACCGTGTTTGGAGGAGGAGGAATGCTGCCTATGACCCCAAGAACACCATCCCCACCGTCAAACATGGAGGTGGAAACATTATGCTTTGGGGGTGTTTTTCTGCTAAGGGGACAGGATAACTTCACCGCATCAAAGGGACGATGGACGGGGCCATGTACCGTCAAATCTTGGGAGAGAACTTCCTTCCCTCAGCCAGGGCATTGAAAATGGGTCGTGGATGGGTATTCCAGCATGACAATGACCCAAAACACATGGCCAAGGCAACAAAGGAGTGGCTCAAGAAGAAGCACATTAAGGTCCTGGAGTGGCCTAGCCAGTCTCCAGACCTTAATCCCATAGAAAATCTGTGGAGGGAGCTGAAGGTTCAAGTTGCCAAACGTCAGCCTCGAAACCTTAATGACTTGGAGAAGATCTGCAAAGAGGAGTGGGACAAAATCCCTCCTGAGATGTGTGCAAACCTGGTGGCCAACTACAAGGCACGTCTGACATCTGTGATTGCCAACAAAGGTTTTGCCACCAAGTACTAAGTCATGTTTTGCAGAGGGGTCAAATACTTATTTCCCTCATTAAAATGCAAATCATTTTATAACATTTTGACATGCGTTTTTCTGGATTTTGTTATTCTGTCTCTCACTGTTCAAATAAACCTACCATTAAAATTGTAGACTGATCATTTCTTTGTCAGTGGGCAAACGTACAAAATCAGCAGGGGATCAAATACTTTTTTCCCTCACTGTAGCGTGATTGGAAATTTGCTGGAACACGCATTCAGTACTCTCACAGCTCTTTCCCACTATCTACGGTGGCCTCAGTAAGATGTTTTGGAAATTACCTTCGACCATGCAGCATCCATGATGACTTATTTGCCGTGTAAATTATTTGCCACGAAACATACGCAAATGGGGTGATACATTTCAGTGCTGTAAAGACCTAACCCAGCAGGGTGGAATGTGGCCAGATTAAAGGTTTTTGTTTTCTTGTATTGGGATTATCGCCAGGACAATGTGGACAAGTAGCTAAGCTATTATGGAGGAATACCATGAGAATCTGTAAAAACCATCCAGGAAAATAGTCCGGTATCATGATTGGTGCTTTGTTAATCCACTACTAAATAAACGCTTCTTCATGCCATGCCAAGCGTGGTCATTCTTTTGGCATAACTCACCATGCCTGTCAATGTAGGTTTGTGAGAGAGAGGGGGGCGGGAGGTTGGGGTGGGGAGTGGAGCGGGCAGGAACAGCAGATAACACTCATGTTACCCATGGCCAGGAAGTGAACTCAGTTCGCCCAGTTCATAACACAAACATGTTCTTACCACTGTGCCACTGCTTATTCAGTACAGTATAGCATTAGTGGAACACTATCCAATCACTGCACTATTTAGTCTCAGCTCTGATAAGCTTTTATCATACTAATAATTCAAATTATTCACCCAGAAAAGCCCAAGTCCCAAGACCTTTTCTGGAGGGGCGTGAATTTAGATGTTTGTCCAATAATATTCACGAGTACTTTCGAAAGTGTGTGGAAGCGAGTGTTCCTGGAGAAACCTCACATTTATTGGGGGTGACCCTCAACACTGTCACCTCCTGGGCACCTTGTAGCCCCACCCTTACAACACCTTGCAGGCCAGGCCATGGTGGGCATCCATCCAATTCCTACCCAG